GATTTCTAAATGATTCTTAAAATCGCATTAAGCGCAGTAAATTATTCTTTCCACGAACGAAATGAGACCGCTAGATGGTACACAGAGGATAGATCTCGGCAGGATCGGAGGGCAAATTTTTATTTCATGGCAGATGTGGTGGTCCAACTACACTTTCCATTGATTGTACTGATCGGCAAAAGCAAAAGATTGTGAATAAGAGATGCATGCCTCATTCTGAGAGTCATGTCTGACAGGATGGATCTCTATTAAGTCAAATGAGAATATTCTAGAACAGAGCATATTGTTGCCTAGCTGGTTACAGGGCTAAGCCATGCGAATATAGTTGTCTACAGTAGAGCTACCTTGGAAAATGGTTTCGAATCAATGCTCTGGTGCCTGGTGGTTTGATCTGGCGGTGTCTTCTTCTAATTTACTTTAAGAGAAAACCCCAGGTGTTCTGGCTTGGAGGAGCAACTGCTTCCCCCTCCTCTGGAACAGAATTATTCTGGTAGTGAACACTAACGGACTACCTTTAGCGAAATCAGTTGACAATCTATGGCACTTGGCCCTTAAGTTTGCCTCCTATTTCTCGAAAAAAGGTGTTTGAATTATGGGATTGCAATACTTGGCTAAAAGGACCCAGTAAATCGTCGATAGTACGGAACCGAGATAAGGAGATAAGAGTTAAATCGATAGCTCGGACTATAGATTAAGTAAAGGCACGCTCTAATCGGCAGACTAAACACCGATTATTGAACATACAACTTTAGCTTTTCATTGGGTTGGAGACCGGTTAGCTGTGTGCTTGATCAATTCATACAAAAGTCAGAGCCAGGAGTGAGGTTACTGCTGGTTGCTGAAGAAGTTCTTGATATGCTGCAACCGAACGGATGTGAAAGTTGTTGTTATATCACCTGTTGTGTCCGTCTAACCACCTAAGTTGCCGACCTTCTGTGGTGTGAGGTCCGGCGGATAGAAAAACCTGACTCAACAGCTTACAAAGGGGGCGCATCACCGTCGCAAGAATATTCGGGGGGCAGGATGGTCCATTCTCCTGGATTCTGAACAGCCTAACCACCGAAAGGGATTCAGCTAGTGCCTCGCAGGCCAATGTCGCCATCCATTACTAGGTGTATCCAAGCGAGGATAATCAGAAAGCCTTCCCATGATTTGGCGACAATCGGTTAGTGCTGTTAAAGCAAATCAGAACATATTTCGCTCTTGCGTGGCATAAAGTGAAAAGAGTAAAGCTAGCTCCCTGGTTTGTCCCTGGACCTCCTCTCCTCAGAGGTCATAGAAATATGGGTTTGCTTCAAAACATCTATTGTTATAGGCATTCCCTACCTAGGCATCGAGCTGATGCTACCGGGTGGCAAGGCGGATTGACTTGGAGGAAGGGTTTTTAGGGTCTTAGGCGTGTCCATAAAAAGGGTGAGCAACAGTGGGTATAACCCTTGAAAAGTAATTTGGTACTTACCAGTCAGCAGGTTCGAATACACAAACTCGTCATCCTCTCCATCCCCCTCTCCAGTCATCCTGGTGGCTGTAGCCGCCAGATATTTGGTGTCACCCTCTGGACTAACAACCAATTGACTAAGCTCACTCCCGGTAGAGGCTTCTTGGACTCGAGCTAGTCTCCCTGCAAACACGCAATTTCTGGAGACCGTTGCCAATCTCTGAAACTGAGCTATCGTCCGGTTGCGTGCGCGTAGTCTCTGAAAACTTGCCACGAGTCTGGCGGGTGCGTGGTTCCTGCTTCCCACTTTCCCGAAATCCTCTTCATCGTTGTCCCGATCCGAGTTGTCTTCCTCTTCATTTTCGTCATCGTTTTCATCCTCGTCGTCGTCATAATCATCGTCATCATCATCGTCATCATACTCGTCATCCTCCTCCTCGTAAATGTCGTCCCCACGGACCTCGAAGTCTGCTTCGACAACCCGGTCGTCATCGTCGTAGTCATCAACCTCGACAACACAATGGATTGCGTGCAGATTGACCTTGCCTGTGCTCCTTTCTTTTGCTGGGCATTGTTCCACCATAACTCCGTCTACAACCAGATCTTCCTCTTCCCTCTCCTCCTTTTCTCCCTCCTCCTCGTCCTCCTCCTCATCCTCCTCCTCGACCTCCCCCCCCACTTCCACCTCCTGCTCCTCTTGCTCCTCATCCTCCCTCTCTTCCTCCTCTTTCTCCTTCTCAACCTTTTCTTCTTTATCTGCCTCCCTCCTGACCTCCGAACTCCAACCAACCCTGCATCTGGTTTTGCCGGTCTTACACATTGGAAAGCCTGAATTGCCTCTGTCAGATCCTGGCCTGGCAAGGCTCTGCCTCCTTCCCACAGCCGAAGCAGATCTTGAGCCGACCCTTCCGAGAACGACCCGGGCCTCACAGAAGACAGGCTGTATTTCGTTGCCCCGTTCTGACGACGGAGGCGTTTGGGGCGAAGGTGGTGAAGGGTAAAATGCTGATAAAGGGGGGGGTGAAGGAGGAGACTTAGCTTGTCGGACGACTCGACAGCGAGTTCGCGTTCTTTT